CTATACACAAACTTCGACTATCTTCGGTTACATTCGTCATCAAGCCGAATGTCACCTCTTGTAGAAAGAGATACCAAGAGGACAGAAAAGGAGGGCACTCTCGCCCCCCTTACCGCAAATTTCACAGCCCCCTTGTCCGTCATCCCACTTCGCGCTCGGTCCAGAGATTCTTAGGTCCATGCAACGGACGAGCTCTTGAGTAATATGGCGCTGCTTTTGCGAGAAAATCAAAATGATCCGGATTAAAATGACCTCGTGCTATGATTGGTCAAATCTGAAATTTTATTCAATGACATTCCAGATTTGACCGATCATAGCACATAGGGTCATTTTAATCTCGATCATTTTGATTTTCTCGCGAAAGCAGCCCCGAGCTAACCAATGGTTGTGAAATATCTTCTCTAGGGCTGCTTTCGCGAGAAGATCAACATGATCCAGATTATAAAATGACCCTGTGCTATGATCGGTCAAATCTGAAATTTCGTAGCATCGCATCGAAATTTTATTCAATGAAACTCCAGATTTGACCAATCATAGCACCGGGTCATTTAAAGTCCTCTTTTTTTTCCTGCTGGATTGCTTGCAATCTAATAAATTACATCATCGTTGCACCTAGTGCACTGAAAAAAACCCGGATATTTTCGGAAAAAAACCGGGTTTTTTACCGTTTTTTTCCCAAGGCTGGGAAAAATAGGAAAAATATGGAAATTTTGAATTTTTACACTAATAGTCGTCACACTCACTCACGAGACGGCGAACGGCGGGTGTGTTCCGAAATTTACTGCCACTGTTGAAAACCTATAATATACGTCACGTAAACTATAGATTTCCAGTACTGGCAGTAAATTTCGGAACGCAGCAATAGCTACCGGCATAGTACAAGACCGTCTCGACTAATGATCATCAACCATAAAAAACTTTACATAAAGGCATAATACACAATGCACAAGGAAATGAACCAATCAGATATCACATTTCTTGCCACGATGGAAATAAAGAACTCTGATTGGTTTATTTCCTTATGTTTGTGCATTATACCTTTATGTAAGAATGTATGCTTTCTGCTCATAGCAGCCGTATTAAATTGCAGAGAGTGCGTTCATTTGAAACCGTTCGATCATAAGAATCATTAATAATACCCTTGCCTTGACAGGTACGTCAAAAAGTTAAATATACATGTATATATGTACAAAGTACATGTAATAAAAAATAGAATGTCCTAAAAATTCTAGATAGAGAAATCTAAGCTGTGGAAGTATCTTATAAGGAAAAATAGTATTTTTCCCAAAATGACGGTTTTTTTCCGAAAAAAACCCGGAAAAATTGCGGTTTTTTTCCCAGAGGCAATTTTTCAGGAAATTTTACAACACTAGTTGCACCATTCAGCACTCAGGCCCGGTTTCACCAACGCGAGTTAATCTAATCGGTCGGTTAACTTGACAGGGTGCCAACATAAAACTTCTTTATTAACCAAGAAAATAGGTTAATAAAGAAGTTTTATGTTGGCACCTTGTCAAGTTAACCGACCGATTAGATTAACTCGCGTTGGTGAAACCGGGCCTCAGGATACCTAGTAATTTAGTAAATCGCAAGCAATCCAGCGGGGAAAATAGCATCGTCTGCAGCGGGCTTTAATCTGAATCAATCACACTCGCCAAGAGTGGGCGAGCTCCGCTCGCGGCTTTCGCGACTTGCGAGAGCGCCTTGAGCTGCGTTCGGAAACGTCACCCGAGCGAGCCAGTGTATCATTTTATCCTTGTTTACCGTTCAGTGAGAAACAAGGATAAAGTAATACACTGAGACACTCGCGGTGACGTTTCCGAACGCAGCCGTAACGACACGTCGCGCGCACGAGGACCGGTCTTGCGGCGCTTCCACGGACAGCTTGCGGGGACTCACGAAGGCTAACGGAGACATCGAGGATTCGTGGAGCGTGGTGTCCGCGGTTACGAGGAAACGAGAGAACAATTAGCGAGGATGGCGGCGATCAGTTTGTTAAATCCGAAGGCCGAGTTCGCCCGGGCGGCGCAGGCTCTGGCGGTCAACATCTCCGCCGCGAAGGGAATTCAGGACGTGATGAAGACGAACCTGGGGCCCAAGGGAACCATGAAGATGTACGTATCATCGCGTGTTAATGTGCCGCGACGACCCTGCCGCTTCGCGCCCAGGCGCCGTCGCCCGCGTGCACCTCGGAAAAGATATCCCGAAACGAGCGCGTCGCGTCCGGCCGCGAAGCGACGTGAACGTTCCGACGCCACGCTGTTCGCCTTATTAGGAAATGAATTGTCGGCGGGAGGAGGAGGAGGCGTCGACGTTGTCGCGCCTGCCTTCTTACTCGGCACGCGAAAGATTTTCTTCTATCGACGTGAAGTATAAACAAATGTAATCTCCGCGTGCGTCGACCGATTGGCGTAATTTTAAGATCGCGCTCGTTTGTAATAAGTAACACGCTGGTGTTGAAAATCGCCAGGCTGGTTTCCGGAGCTGGAGATATTAAAATCACCAAGGACGGCAATGTTCTCCTCCACGAGATGCAGATCCAGCACCCTACGGCGTCGCTGATAGCGCGAGCGTCCACCGCTCAGGATGACATGACGGGCGACGGCACGACCAGTACCGTACTGCTCATCGGCGAGCTCCTGAAGCAGGCAGATTTGTATGTAACGGAAGGGCTGCACCCCAGAGTGCTCGCGGACGGCTTCGACCTGGCTCGCGCCAAGGCGCTGGAGATCCTGGACTCGATGAAGATCCCAATCGAGCCTGTCAAACAGAGCCTGCTGGACGTTGCGAGGACCTCGCTCAGAACGAAGATCCACCACACCTTGGCGGACAAATTGACCGAGATCTGCGTGGACGCTGTGCTGGCTATCAGGCAGCAGGGCAAGGAAATCGACCTGCACATGGTCGAACTGATGGAGATGCAGCACCGCACGGCGGACGATACCACTCTGATTCGTGGTATAGTCACCGACCACGGGGCCAGGCATCCGGACATGCCGAAAAGATTGGAGAACGCGTACATTCTAATTTGTAACGTGAGTCTGGAATATGAGAAAAGCGAGGTACGTGATAGATAACACGAAAAGTTAAGCCATACGACACGTTCAGTAATGTTGAAGACATGCGCAACAATTGTTTCTACGAATCTTTGATTTCACAGGTGAACAGCGGATTCTTCTACAAATCGGCAGAGGAGCGTGAGAAGTTAGTGGCCGCCGAACGCGTATTTATCGATAATCGCGTGAAGAAGATCGTCGAGCTGAAGAAGAAGTTGTGCGACGGAACGAACAAATCCTTCGTCGTGATAAATCAGAAAGGGATCGATCCGTCTTCACTCGATATGCTCGCGAAGGAAAACATCATCGCTTTGCGCAGAGCCAAGCGCAGGAACATGGAGCGTCTGGCGCTCGCGTGTGGCGGCGTGGCCATGAATTCCGTGGATGATCTGAAAGAGGAGCATCTGGGATGGGCCGGTCTTGTGTACGAACACGTTCTGGTAAATTTCAACGAATTACTTGGACGAATCAAAAGTTGTCGCGTAACTGAAAACCTTTACGACTTTTTATCTATTTTCAGGGAGAAACTAAGTATACCTTCATAGAGGACTGCAAGAAACCCAATTCCGTAACTATATTGCTAAAGGTAACGCAAATGATTACTTGTGCTAATAAAATACCGAGTGTTATAAATATTCTGATACATTGACATTCCAGGGACCTAATAAATTTACATTGGAGCAACTCAAAGACGCTGTTCGCGACGGACTTCGGGCAATAAAGAATGCTATCGACGATCGTGCGGTCATTCCTGGAGCTGGAGCCTTTGAAGTTATGGTTAGTCAAGCTCTTCAACGGTACAAAGAGCAAGTGAAAGGGAAACAACGTTTGGGGATACAGGCCTACGCCGAGGCTCTACTCATCATCCCGAAGACTCTTGGTAAACGCAATACTTCTGTCCAATGGCGCTACAAATTCGACTCTGATCTCTCCTAGTGTCTACAATAATCCGAGACCTTTGAGCTCCCGAGGCAGGATTTGTTTTTCTGGGAGTAGGTTGTCGGTTTACTGCCGACCTGGGGCACGATTCTCGAGTTCATTTGCACGATAAACGTATGCGCAAATTCCGTTCTTGCACAAAAAGTTACCAAGTCGATTGGCCAAAAGCGACCATGCGAACAGCCAATCAACTTTCAACTTTTCTCCAAGAGCAGAATTTTCGTACTTGTTTTTCTTTCGAGTGAATTCAAGAATCGAGCCCCAGGAGGGTCAAATCTTAAAATGGTTTACGTAAAGATGCTCTCGATGGTTGCCATTTTCCTCTGCAAAGTAGCATTTGATTCAAAACCAGTGCTCTTGGTTGGATATGAACTCGGATCTTTTTGTCCATTTGTTTGCCAAGCAGCATACATTTCTCTGCGCCACATAATACCTGTTAAGCTCTAATTTTACTCATACTGTCTCAACGTTATCGTAGTTATACTTTTTTCTTTTAATTTCAGCTGTTAACAGTGGATTTGATCTGCAAGATACAATCGTTAAATTATTTGAGGAACACACTGCATTAGGAGAGCCAGTAGGATTGGATTTGTCTACGGGAGAAGCTGTAAAACCCGTGGATATTGGTGTTTATGATAATTACAATGTAAAGAAGCAAATTATAAATTCTTGGTAAGACATCATAAAACACGCTGTTGAATGTTTTGTAATTTAGTGTGTATTTTAATAACTTGTATATATTTTTTCAACTTTCAGCACGATTATCGCCAGTAATCTCCTTCTGGTTGACGAGATAATGAGAGCAGGATTATCTTCGCTAAAGGGTTAAATTATAATACAACTCTTATGAAATTAAAAATTTAAGAATCACTAATAATTTTTTTATGAATGAAATTATTGGATTCCCAGATAGCACAAGACGGCCTAGAATTATCCTAGATGTATATAGGACGTTCATAGAACTGTCCCAGGGCGTTCTGGATTGGTTCTGGGACGTTGTATGTTATGTGGGTTATCATTCGTGTTGCATTATATTTGTTAATCAAATATATCGCCTGATCTTTTGCTTTTAACGTAAATATTTAATAATTCGATGAATTTTCACACTGAATAAAAAATAATGCTTTCGTAAAAAGTATTTCATTTACTTACAAAACTTTATACCATCGCAAAATCTAAGCTGAGGAACGTACAAAATATCTTCGAAAATATGAAAGGAGTCATAGATGTATAAATAATATGAATGCCACGTGTCATATTTTCAACAAGAAAACGCAAAAAGATACTCGTGCAAATGTCGATCAAAATGTGCCGATTTTCTTGCTTTTTATGTTAAAAAGTAATATTATAACTTCAAAATGTACTTAAACTAAAGTAATTATTGATATATTTGTTTATATACTGGTCGATTTATAAAAATCAAAAATATTTATTTACGGTATGGTACATATATTTACAACGTTTTAAAAACTACTACATTAAAATAATAGGATGTTTGTCAGTCTTGTATTTTCACAGAAAAAAGCTTGCTATTTTCTATTATGCTAAAATCATTCTTATGAAGAAAAAATTTAGTGACTGAAGACTATTTCTGCATGTTCGTGTGTAGTGCAATTTCATTACTGAAATAATATGTAAAATCTAATATAGACAAAATGTTCGTACTATCCATCTTTGTTTTATAGAGATAAAGTATAATACTACTTACACAGTACGAAAAAAGAAACGTAAAATTATATATATATACATATATATTAAAACTATTCTGTTATTCTGAATGACATGAACATTATATATTATTAATTGATACAAATCGACTAACAAAATTGTGATTTTATGAAAGGTATTAAAAATAGTTTTATTCTATTATTCGGCAATTCACGTTGTAAATCTGTGATGTTACACGTAACTTTTACAATAATTCAAGATTTTAACAAACAACCCTTTCATATATATAAAAGTATCACATCAAACATATACTTGAGTTGATACATTTTAAAACTAAAATACGACTTTATATTGTACTAGTCGCTCCACCCTTCTTTCCTAATGTACATTCTATTCAATCATATCTCCACTTTTAATATGTACACGTTGTATTTTGTGAAATAAAATTAGGAGCAAAAAATACAAGCTACATTATGATTTTTGGTTCTATAATAATAAAAAAAAAGATTAAAACTTGTTAAAAAAAAATTGTTCATCATTGCAAATCAGTTTTACCACGGACAGTAATTGTAACTGAACGTTTTTGTTGCAATTTCACTTATGTACTAGTTTTTCCAACGATCGGCAACAAATTATTTTTAACAGAAAAATCTGAACCTCAATATGACACGAAAATAATATCTATATGATACAAAGAATAATTATTATAATATTAATCTAAGTTTGACAGGCTTGCGGTGTATTCAGGATCTTTTCTAATGTCCTTCAATAATACTTTTGGCTTGATATTAATCAGTGTTGCGAGAGTAAGACAGTTTACCCTCATACGGAGGCCCCCGACCACCATGTACGTGTTTAACTCGGCTAAATTAATCGGGCTGCTCGGTATTCCATAATACGAGACTGGCTCGCGCTGCATCACTTCTTTCTCCTCGAGATTCATGTTTGTGCTTTCCACTACCGGACGTGGCGTAAAAAGAGTTTGTGGATACTTCGGATTAGTGGACTTGCGCGCGACAACCTTGTATACACGTGGACCTGGTCTCGAGACGACCGATTTGGTAGTGGATTTCTTCGCGACAGCCTGGCGATTATCGCCGCGATGTCCCTTCGAAGTCGAGACGTGCAAAATACAGCTCTGGCCATCCTCGTTTTTTGGATCAGGTTCGTCGATTTGCTTGACATGTTTCGCGATCAAGCTCTCCACGACCAAATTGAAGGTATTGTTCGAGTTTGTTGCGAGACCCGTGTGCTCGGCACTGTGTGCAGGCAATTTTGCCGACGCTCTGAAATACAGATTTCGCATGTTTCATTAGGTGTACTCCTGACGTGTATATACATGTGTATATAAAATAAAACCGCCGCACACATGAGCGAATACTTACCTTTGTGATTGATCTTGCTCTTTCTGTTGTTGCTGTTGCTGCTGCTGCCGCTTCTCCTGCCACTTGTGTGGTAGATGCGAATGGAACATGTTCTGATGCCTTTGCCTCTCGTTGTTGGTCTTGCAAAGTTCCTGGCACCACTGACAAATCCATCCGTGTTGAGTGACAGGCGACGAGTTCTCAGTCTTCTTCGTTTGGTTCTGCTCGTTGACGTCTTTCTTCGCGGAGTTTATAGACGACAATCTTTGCACAGATATCTCCTTGTATTTAAACGGAAACTTTACGCCGACAGTGGCTTCCGAACCCTTTGACTCCTTGTGCATGAGATTCCAGTGCTGTCTGATGGACGACAACGAGATGCTACGAAGATTACAGTAGAAGCAGCCGTAGATTATGGTCGACGCCTCGCGTTCCTCCACCGTGTTCTTCGACACGTCGGCGTCCCTCGTTTGAGACGTCGGCGGCTTACTTTTCGTCTCGCCCGAGGAGGTATCAACTATCGGTGTCAGTTCCTTGAATTTCAACGGCAACGAGAAATGATTTATTTTCCAATGCTCGACCATTTCTGCCTTAAAGGAACAGCTGTAGGTGCAATACAGGCACTTAAGATTGTGTTTGTGAGCGTGTGTCCTCATATGGCTCTTCAGGCCAGTGTAATTTACGGCTGAGAAGCTGCACAACTCGCACTTTTCTGTGCGAGTGCTGGAAGAAGCAGGAACAGTTGAGGTAGCGGCGACGGCAGGGGCAGGAGCAGGAGCAGGGGCAGGGGTGGCAGCGGCTATTGTAGTGGCCGTATTGTTGCTGAAACTGATATCCGTATTCAACCTCCGTCTCTTGTTGTTCTTCGTTGGAGAAAGGCCGTATTCCTTTAACCAAAATTCATCGCTCAACCTCGTATTCCCCCACGCGTCTGGATTGTGTACAATCTTCTCCTTGTCGTTCGGGTGCTTCGCACGGATGTGCTGACGCATCATCGGCTCCGAGTTGGTGCTACGGTCGCAATAAGGACACAGGAAGCCGAGCCGTTTCAAATGTGAAAACTGAATGTGCATCTTCAGTCCGCGCTGGCGGGTGAACGTCAGCTTACAGTGCTTGCAGACAAACGGCTTCTCCAGATCGTCGTCGGTTTTCTCAACTGCGGTGTAAAATCGTACATGTTTCATCTTGCGGACAGTATAATAACAACAAATTAACGTAATGCTCTACTTACGTTCATCACGTTTGTCACTTTCGGACTTGTCCTCGCTGCTTTTATCCTCGTCCTCCTTCATGTCGATTATAAGATCCTCGTCTCGGCTATCTCCATCATCAGTATCTATATTGCTTCTATTAGTGTCTTCGAGAATATTATTTTGCAGATTAGATATCGTAGGTGCAAGATTCACGGTCTTCTTGTCGGTAGGAATTTTCACGGAACTGACATCTGGGTTGACAGGTATCGCGACACTTCTGTAGACAACGTTCATGTTTTGAGACGCCTTGATCATATCCATTTGTTTCGTCAATAAAGTCGACACCTGCAAATCACGTATAGTGTTTATCTATAATAAGAATAAATCAAAACTTACGAACATTAATAAAATTAAAAAATATATATATATATCAATTAATATTTATTCTACTTTATCTTATTAATGGGGTGAACAGTTTTAATATGTACCCAATTTTCAATCGTATAGTCCGGCGAAAGCGGCTCGTGATCCACACACTCCCCATTATGACGTTTCGTAAAATGCTGCTGCAATGCTTTACGATTTATCGATGTGTATCCGCAAACCTTACAATGCCACCTAAACAGACGCATAATTTCTCACTTATATCCCAATGATTGTCAAAAGATTTTAAAACAATTAGTACATTCAAATAAAAATTACAGCTGATTGGCATTAAATTGCATTCACTTTTGTGTTTGTGTTCTAATTGTTAAAGTTGCAAACATAATATGACGGGATATCTAGAATGTAATCTGAAGGCGACAGATTTTGCCTGATTTCAAGTTGCACCGCTGATCCTTGTGATACGTGAGCATGTAAGTTTCAATATAATATAGCACTTACCTTTGATAGTTCAACTCCCTATAAAGGTGATCTCTCATATCGTGCTTGTACTTGGTCTTGAAGTGATTACACAGTGTACAGACATACTGATTGGCATCCGGTTTGCCGTAAGGCCCAAACGTTCCCATGTCAGAATCGTTAATGTCACTCAGTTCATCCGCGTCTGTTCTCAAGACTTTCGCCGACTTGTTGCCGGTATCACTACGCGAATTGACTTTGCTATGTGCACTTTCCTTCGTAGCTTGTCCCTCGCCTGCCGCCTCGACGGATAATTTGTCGCATGAGAGCGATCGTTTTGATTTCTCCTTCGACTGCTTGCTGTTCTCATCGAGAGACGTCGATTTCCCAGTTGATTTTATTTTAGCCGGCTTCGTCACTATCTCTACATCGCTCTTACGTTTGCCCAGAGACACTTTCGAAGCTGACGACGTCTCGCTCGTCGCGGACTCTTCAATTTCCTCCTCCAAAAGAATTCCGCGAATATGTCGAACTCGCGGCATGTTTCTTCGCCAAAGTGGCGTCGTGTCGAAGGGCTCGTCTTGTCCGCCTTGCTCCACCACGGCTTCCGTGTTTCGTTTGTTGACACCTTTTATCCTCTGATATATTATGTTGTAATCGGCGTTGGAATCGTATGCGTGTTTGCTATTTAAATGCTGCTCGAGCATTATCTTGCCACTCGTTTTGAACGAGCACAGGGTGCACTTGTATTGAGCACTCTCGCCGTGAACCGTATCAGCATGGTTGGCTACATCGGCCTTGTAAACACATTTGAAATCGCAAAGATTACATTTCCAATGATTACCGTCCGGGTCGGGCACCTCCTCCTCTCCGGTCTCCTCCGGGACCGGTTGCTGAACGTTCTCCGTGCTCTCCAGTTCCCTTATGACTTTCACGAAAGGTCTCTTTTCCAGATGCTTGTCGGTAAGGTGCCGCTCCACAACGTGCCTAGGTGTCATTTCAACACTATCAGAGAGCATAGAAAGTGCACTTGCGCCAACAAGAAAATCTTAAAACATCTGACAAGTAACACATTCTTCTTTTATGTACGTTAATGGTTTTTTTATCCGAATAACAATCTTGATTAAACAGTAATCAAGTCTACTGGTCGTACTTGTCACATGTTTTAAAATTGCATCAAGTGTATGTATAAAATTAGAATTTGTATTAAACTTTGTCAAAAAATATAAAGACATAGTTACGTGTACACCTGAAATCGCTATACAAATATATGCAAACCTATGATAATGATGATGATTGCAATGGGAGCATTTGTAGAGTCTTGTGTCGTGCATCTTCAAATGAATGCCCATTTTGTCGATCGCTATATTTTGATTCTCTTGACCCGGCACCGATGGGGGACAATGCGGACAACGGAAATATGGCTCGTCCGAATGCAGGGCCTTCAAGTGATACCTCAACATCGCCTCGTCCACCGTTAAATAATTACATTCGGCTATGCTACATACATATCTACCACAGAGAAGATATAATTATTGGAACGGCATTTCTCTCTCACATCTCATTTGTTGCAATCGCAAATAAAGTCGTGCGTGTAATAACATATTATATACCTCTTGTTTTCCGGTACAAACTTCGGTATACTATCATCCTTCTCGCTTTCCTTAACAAGCTCTTTCGATTTCCCACCCATACGACCGTTTTGGTGCGAGCTGCTCGCCAGATTCACCATCTTATCGAACATCTTTTCCTTCTTATCTAAACAGGGAACAGGATTGACCGGGCCGCTCTCGGGCACGGTCTCGTCTTTTGCGTGTAGTTGTAAATGCCGGATAATGTTTGTTCGAACTTTAGTTGTGTAAGGACACACGGCACACCGGACCTCCCGATTATAAATTGCCTGACGCGGCAACTGCTCTATCTCGTCGGGACTGAACGACAGTTTTTCGTTATCCGCAGTTTTTTCATTATCCTGTTCCGCTACAGACTTAGCACCTTTACGCTTCTTGGTCCTTCGTTCGGCAGATCCAAAAGGCTGTGTAAATTACATATGCAGGAATTATACACACTCTGTTTAAAAAAGTAAACTAAACTTTTCACATTAAATATCGATGAGAGAGAGACTTACCACTGCTTGCACGATAAAGAGACCATCCACTGATGGGTTTGTTGGGTCGGCAGGCACCAACTTCGTGTTGAGAAATTTGTGTTTGGACTTCATGTGAGCCGTAGCCTGATACGCAACCGGATATCTCAATTTACACATCGAGCATCCAAAACGCTTCAATCCGTGAGTCTTCATGTGCTCTAGGAGCAGGCCAACTTTAACGAATCGTTTTTTGCAATGCGGGCAAAACAAATTTTTGATGGGCTCTCCAAGATTACACGTTTTGATGTGCACTTTCAACGAGGCTACGCTGGGTGCGGTGAAACTGCATTCCAGATAACCACATTTGTACAAATCATGCCCAACACGGCCGGTGTCCTTGATGTCATCCAAAGTCAAAGGTCCGTCTGGCTGAGCGGTTGCATTAGCAGCCGCATTAGCCGGCGCCTCTCCGGGTTTGCATTTTGTCTCGGTAGTATCGCCAGGTGCGATCTGCTCCTTACTCTCAACCTTTGCCTCGAGAACCGCCGGCTCTGCTGTTGTCTTTACATCGTCCTGAACATTTCGCGCGGCTACTTTCTCCTCGCTGTCCAAGATCTCGATGTCACTGTCTTCTGTGGTTTTGACCACAGATTTAGAGAACATGTTATCGGAATTGGGTGTGAAATTCTTCAGGAGTTCCGCATTATCGAGAAGATTGGTATTTACGAATTCGTCGCTGCAATTGAATTCACCCGAAAATTCTAGCGGGTCAATCGCGTCGGACTCGTTTATGGACGATGACAGCTCCAATTCTGGTTCATGAAGAATTTGATTTGTGACATAGTTACTTAATTTTCCCATCTCCGATTGCTGGAACGACTCACTCTGCACAGGCTGTTTTTCAGCACTTTTGTTACTCGGTTTTTTACTGGTACTGGCAAGAAACGCATCTGCAGATTGTTTTGTTGAGATATTAGAAATACTAGCGTTAACTTCTGTGTTATCACTAACTGCCCCGACGAAATTATCCTTCTTTACATTAGTTGGCAGATTAGACCAAGTTTTATTTGAAGCAATTTTAACAGTTAACGAAGCTGTAGGGATTTGATCGTTTGTTGCGTCTTCCTTAGGTGTAGTCTTTTTAGAATCTTTAACATTTGAACTACGGTTTCCTTCATTTAATACATGGTGGAAAGTTCGCAGTACGAGTTGATGTATAACTTCCACGTGGCGTGATGGCTGTAATAACGTGCGATTGCATGTGATATAATAAACAAATTACAATTTACTAAAAGTTATAGCACTTAGTAATAAGTCTAAAATTTTGAAAATTGTTCAAAATGTACATATTGAATAATACAAATACATTTAGGTAAACATCCTAACGATCGATATATTTTAATAACTTTGAACGATAAATAAAAACATGCCGAATAATTTTGACATAATAATAATGTCTCGCATAGTTTGTTTTGCTACCAACAATTATACCTTTGGTGGAAGTGAACGCTCCAGAACCTGAGGCAGTCGATTGTAATGTACGGTGCTTAAATGCTGATATGCTTCAGCTAGACTCTCGGCACCAAAAAAACAATATAAGCATTGAAATTTGCACAATCCGTGCGACTTGCTGTAATGCTGCAAAGAATACAGTAGAATGAGCAATATTCACAATTTGTTTCTTTTTCCTAACAGTATTTATCTATATAGACCTAGTATCTACAGATAGATACAGAATACATACAGATAAAAGGGATTCTGTCGTAGTATGCGCAACGTTGCAGATATGACATTTGTACACGAGGGTTGAATGTTTCTTTAAGTGTGTGGTAAATGTTTCACGTATGTAATAGATTTTGTTGCAATCTAAAATCAACAAAAACTACTCTGGTAATTATGCAATATATAACATGGTAAAACATATCACATTAGCACATGTATAATGGTGACACGTTATATTACGATCAGAAGTATTATACATACCTTGTATACATATAAAAGGCTTTACATAATCTTTGCGATTGACTAATTCTTGTTTCTGGGCCGACTTTTGCGGCTTGCCTAATAAATAATAAAATACGGTGCTGGGATGACAAACGGTCTGAAAAATTTAATTGATCGATTAAATGTTATTTCTTCCTTTTTACTAAAGTTACAGTAACTAAAAATTATCACCTGATGTTGTTGCACATAGGCCGGTATAATGGCTCGATAAAAGCAGTAACCGCACTGGTACTGGCAATGGCTGTGTTTATCCAACAAGTGAGATTTCATAGTAAGCCAGTCGTCCGGAGATGCGTAGCAATAAGCGCACTTCTTATAATCGTTCGATAGCGTACTACTCTGCTTGTTGGCCTCCTCGTGCTGAAGATAGTGCTGGTTATATTGTGCGGCCGAGTCGGTAGTGTAAGAGCAATCGCGGCCCATGCACTTGTAGAAGTGAGCCAGCTTTGGCTCCGTCATCATTAGCGCGTAAGAATCGACAGACTTCAATTTGATCGCGAAGGGCGAGTGCGATACGTCCTTAGGGTTAGTCGGCAAAGGTATCACTCTGATTTTCCTTGATCTATTCGAGGTTGAGCTTGTCGAGGGGCTTGTCGATGGACTTGTTGACGAAGCCACCAGTTGCACCTTCGAAGCTAAGATCAAGGAATTCGATGTTAAACATGTGCCGGTGGATGTTGCTGAGACAGGTATTGAGAAAATCTTCATCATATATAACGTATTTAAGTGTTCTTATCGTCACCAGTGATAAAATTTAACCAAAGAGAAAGACTTGTAGTCGACCAAACCGGCAAAAACTTAGGTGGTTTATTTAAAATACAAATCTGTACCGAAATTAATCGTATACCTTGCACGTTCGTATTTATTAACAGCTGTGAGACATTTTTCTTCAATATTAACGGTTGGCTGAATGGGTGTCTCCTTAAAATAGATATACTATCTTTGCCCTTTGTAGGCGAGAGCTCCATCGCTTTTCTAATGTTGTTTACCTGAAGATAGGGTAGTAGACAAATAACAAGTGCGCTAATGGTAATAGACGAAGTCGAATACCGGCAATAAAGAAATAATTGTGATTCACGTACAATAAGACTCTCGTTCTGATCGGGCCGTGCGAGGCTAACCACGTTTTCGATTTTCAAAAACGGGCATTCTTCCTCCGCGTCGGTTTGCAGTGAGTCTACTGCACTATCCGATTGAGCTCCATCTATAAATTTTATTTTTTAATACAGATACATGCATATCTCTCATTAACGTATTTAATTACTTGAAACAATTGCAACAATCTATAACGAATCCTAGTAGCACATAGTGTATTGACCAAACATTGGTTAAATATTGGCCCAATATTTGATTGTATTGGGCCAATGTTTAGCCAATGCACTGTGCTACTAGAAAACACACTGACCCGTATTGAATTCTTGCGCATCTTCTTGATTATCCGAAAACTGCGTCGGCATAGACAACGTGTCGCCGCTCAATCGCCGAAATCTAAGAAAATTGTTGGGCAGACTGGCATACTTGGGCGACGACGGTGTCAACATTTCCTTCGCAGGCTTGACGTTTTGTTGTTTCGATAGCAAACGTTTGACACTGGCGATCGACACGACGTCCGGTGGTTTCGGGATCGACGACACAGGCTCGGTCTTGATCTCAGTTTTAATACTGAGCTCGGGAACCAGCTCCAACGGTTTAACGTTCTGAAGCTGCGCAGCCAGCCTCTGTATCGTCGTCAGCATCAGGTCCTGTGACGAGGACAAGTTTATGCTCGAAGTCTCCTTCAGGATCGTAGTAACGTCAGTCTGCTCAGAGTCCGATTGCTCGCTGCTGGAGTCCGATTCGAAGACTGGCGCTGAGCGATCGTTGTCGCTGTTCTCGCCGTCGTTGTCGTTGCCTTTGCCCAGGTCCATGCTCGTAAGAGGATCCCGGATTTTCATGTCCACCTTGTCATCTCCATTCTTCGTCACTTCTGGCTTATCGGCAGCTAATTGTCCCTCCGTAGAAGAAAGGCGATCCTCTTGACTGCTGGGCTGACTCAGGGGATCCTCCTTGATGATTAACTCCTCGGTTTTCAAAGGTTCCTCTTGACTGCTCGGCTGACTTAGAGGATCCCCCGTGATTAACTCCTCCGTTATCAGAGGTTCTGCGGACAGACGCACAAGAGGCAACGAAGGGTCTTTCCTCGTTCCCGGAATGTCCGCCGACGCGTTACATTCGGGACTGACAACCGCGTCCGTGCGCATCTTGTCCTGCAGCTTATCTGTTATGGACAAACCCGGTTTAGGATTTTTTAACATCGGTAAAATACCGATGTCATTGGCGATCTCTGCCATGGTTTTCTGCCGCTCGCGCTGTATCTCGATCTCTTTGTTTTCCAGCTCAGGTGGGCAAACGAATACGCTTAGATTACCGGTGCTCACCGACCCCTCCGGTTCCTCTTGAGATAGCCTCGGTCTTTCCTCACTTTCTTCCTCCTTGATCAGAATATTTTGCTCTATTTTTGGTTCACACAGAATTCTGGTGTCATCATTGCCCTCGAACTCCGTTGGCCTCGCGATAGCCATCAATGGCGGCTTTGTTTCCACGGTGAAAGACTCCTCGGCGTTAGTAGACGTCGACTCGTGCGATTGCTCATTGTTACTCGTAATCTTTTCGGGAGTTACCGCCGACATATTAATTTTCAAGATCTTGGTGTCCATCTGATCTCGGTGCCAGAACGCAACGTGGATTTCCACGTTTTGTCGCTTCAGCTGTACATAATTGCAGCTGCAACATAGGTAGCCATAAACGCCACCCTCCCTCGGTACGATGTCCTCAGATGCAGACTCGTTGAATGATTTGTCTTTGCGACACATTTTGTAATAATGTGTTCTCATGGACGCTTTGGCCACCGCCTGGTAAGAACAATTGTTGCAGTGGAACCTATATTCGCCCGTGTGCGTCGTACAGTGCTCGTAGAACGCCTCGAGTGCCACGTCAGCTGCGCCTTCCGTAACAAAACAACAGAACCTGCAGCAAAACTTGGACATCTGACCCGCTTCTGCCAAAGATGTTGAAGCAGTTGCATCACGCTCGGTATCCATAATCGCGTCCTGAGCGTCTGTTGATTTGAGACGTGAGATAAGTACTTCCCTGCCGTAATGAGTAATCTTGTAATGGTGAACGATGTTCTTGCCGGTAAACATACACAATAGACATTTGTACTTGTCCTGACCCATCCAGCAATAATCTATCAGGTGTTTGATCTCTATCCTGCGGGACAGTTCTGCCATTTGCTCGTCGTAAACAATCTTTGGCGGTTCTTTGAAAAATCTATTATTTGGAATAGTGGCAGTAAGACCAGCGCTACTTGCTGCAGTAAGGTTAGCGCTATTTGAAGATTCTGCCTCTTTCAAGTCCATTTTTGTCGACGATGTATTCTCCTCGGTGGAATCATTAAGGAGCGCTTCTCTAAGCATTGATGTATCCGTGGACTCTGATAAATTGGTAAAATTGCTTAAATCTTTAAAATCTACGTCGAAGCTATTCAATATATTTACAAGTGGCTTAATATCTTCGCATTTCACTATAGAATTCATTATATTTATATTTGCATCGTCAGTGATATAGGTATCTCCAAGAATCTTTTCAGGAGTTTTCTCCACCTCAGGATTTTTATCTTCCAATGCCGATTGATTAGCTTCTACGGTATCCGTTGAAACATTCGTTCCGGTATTCGTCTCTTCGACACTCGTCGAAGACGCAGTTTTGGAGGCGGCTCCCGAAATGGGTCTTTTCTTTTTCTTCTTAGTAGATACTATGCCCATCTTCCAGTTGGATTTCTTTTTCTTCTTTTTCGTCAATTTTTTCGCAACTGGCTCAATAGCCAGCGGATCATTCACATCCTCCTCGAAGTCGGCTTCGTTACCCTTGTCGATCAACGTACTCTGTTCTGGCACCAACCCTATTAGAATGTTGCTCAATAATTCCTCCCTACTGGTCGTCCTAGCTGCGCCACTGCTCGTTCCTCGCCCGACATTTGTATTGCTCAATATGGAAGTGTCTGACACCACGCTCTCCTCGTCCGTGAAAGACATATCGTCGTTGCTTTTGTCGTCGGTGAGTAAACAATCAGTAAATGGCTTCTTCGGCTTCAAACTTCGTTTACCGGTGTTCTTCGAGTCTTTCCGCGGTCTCGAAATCACCGTGTCTATCGAGTCCTGATCGGACTGCTTGTCTCGTTGAAGAGAGTTGTCCACCGCCGCGGCTAATTCGGATACGTCTATACCAAAACTCTCATCGGACGAGCTATCGAACATTGTTCTGGACAAGTCTATCTTCGTAAGATCCGTCTTTTCCACAAGCACTCGCGGTTCCTTAATAATATCTTTATATAGGACACGTCTAGATCTGCGAAGTGTGTCATTGCTTTCCTCACTGTGATCCATTTCTTGATTCGATCTGCTAGTGCCAGCATTGTTCAGCAACTTTTCTGTTCGCAGAGCCAATGGTTGGTCCTCTTCACTGTCGGAACTTATAATCAATTTTTTCGAGTATAAACTGCGAGTTGTCCGTTTGGCATCATTCTTGCTCTTGGCTGTCGGTTTGTTCGACTCTTCGACATAGCGAGATCTTAAATTTTTCCTCGACTTGGCGCTCGCTATCAACTCATTCGTTGCTATATTCGTCTCCGCGATCTTCTTTTCAGCAGTTTCGTCCCTTTTAGAGTTTGTCGATACCGTGCTCGGACTCATCCTCGAGGGCGACTGATTCTCCTTCGACAATCTGCACATCCGAAAACCTGTCGCCGTTACTACGTCGTCACTAATGAACATTTCTCTGATATCCTCCTGCAACATTTCCAGAGAATTTCTTCTCTTGGTCTTTGTCTTTGGTTTATCAGTCGAAACTTCTTGGCTATCCGCATTATCGGTAACAGATTGCTTGGTCCGATCTTTATTCTGATCCGAACTTTCTGTACTATTCTGAACCGCACATTCTATATTACTTTCTGTACTGTCCTTCGATTTTTCTAGAATACTTTGATCGACTTTATCCTGGTTATCTTCGTTTTGTTTCTTCTTTTGCTCACTATCCTCTGATCTATTACTACTGATTCGTTTTTCACTTTCTGATGGGACATCAGTATTTTCATTGTCATCTTCTAATTGATTAGTCTTACAACGATCATTCTTTTTCTCCAATCGCGTACCTTTGGTCTTATTATTATCTATTTGAACGCGCTCCTTGCCACGAATCTTTAATGAATCGTTACTTTTCTTCGTGGTAATATTTTTAATGATCTCTTTGCTCAAATTATTACTGGGTGCTGATGTCTCCAGTGTTTCTTCTGAATGTTTAGAATCTGCAGAATCTTGACATACCGACTCTTTCTCGACGTTCACGTCAGTAGTTAAAATATCTGCAAGACATTCATCATCCGAGCTATCCGACTTTATTATTCGCCTCTTTTTCTTGGTACTAATCTTTGTTGCTTCGACCGTTTCATCCTTGTCCGAACTGCTCTCGGACTCAGACTCAATGATCTTCTTAAGCTTTTCTAACTTTTTTGGCTTTAGCGCCTCCCCGAGCTTTCGTAAAAATTTTGTTTGCTCGAAGCTTACCAGCTTCTTGCCTTCTCCGGATTCAAATGACTTCTTGATAAGTTCTTCAATCCATTCCTGCGTCACCTCTTCCTTGCCTTTCGATCCGTCCGCTTCTGACTGCTTCTTCTTACCCTTCTTTGTGATATTACTGGACTTGGAACTGTTGGTCATCGAGTCTGCTTCGCCAATCTTTGGCTCATTTTTATCACATTTTTCTGAAGATGAAGGAATCTTTTTCTCCTTTGCAACATTGCTTTGCTGGACCGAATTCTCCGTTACACGATTACCGTCGCTACTGCTGCTCACTTCGGCACTCGCAACGTCCTTGCTCTTACTCTTGGAATCCGATTTATTGTTCTTGCTGCTGCTGCTACTCTTTATACGCCACGTTTTACTCGGGAAGGTGTTTTCATCTTTTTTCGTTTCAGCAACGCGAGTTGATTGTGGCGGTTCCGATCGCTTGATTTTTGGAATTTTGAACTTTTGCAAACCCGAATTCTGACTAACCTTCGTGTCAATCACGCCGTAAAGACTCTCTAGCGGTGATTGCATTCTATCTTTCGGCAGCTTGTCCACTTTCTCCTTTTCAGGCGATTTCTGCGCCGTCGGTTTTTCTTTAGCATTCGCCGTTACCGGCCGTTTTCTGGGATCCCTCTCATTGTGAACAGTGTCTTTGACTTTGGTTGACACGTTCGCATGTTTATCTTTGGCAAGGCGTGGATCTCTGGCGGAAGCACCGGTCTCTTTGGCCTGACCGGTAGCTGCGTTATGTTCTGTGCGAACCCGTGGATCTCGATTTGGGAAACGATTCGAATTCTCTCGATCAGAGTGGCCGTCTCGCGACCAATCGGTTCGGCGCCCATCACGATTGAAACCGGGCCTCACCTCCGTCCTGTTTCTGTCATAGTATCCGTCCCTTCCTTGGCTTCTGTTACCCCTGTCACGTGTACCCCAAGGGCAAGGCGTATTGGGTCGCGGATACGAACTTCCTGTGGAATCTAGAGTTTGAATTCCACAAGGAATCACATTATCATAAGTAGTGTCGCTTATCCTACCGGCAAGACCTTCCCATGACGGTCTTACGTGCGGATATTCCGTTGGTCTGCCAACAGGGAAGGCTGGATCGTAAGACCCTTGGCCCATCTGAAAGCCTCTATATTGTGATGGAAAAACGGGAGGTACCATAGGAGGTATATCCTCCCGCATATTTTCCGGTCTCACTATGGGATTGATATGCGGTCTGGGACCAGTGGGTACAGTCGGTGGGAACTGATTTTGCCTGAACTGTGGCTCCATCGGCGAACGTGGAAAGGAATGCTGAGTGGGTTGCAGTGGTGGTTGCAGTGGTGGTTGCAGTGGTGGTTGCAATGGTGGTTGCAGTGGTGGATTGGTCATTCCGCCATAGGGGGAAGATGTCCATTGCGTGTTGCCGAATTGATGGTCACCAGGAACCGTAGGAGGAGCCCAATGCATCTGATTAGGGTGCATACTGTAATAGTCGCTGTTATCTATCATAAATTCGTTCTCAGTTCTAGATAGATTGATGTCCTCTCGTCCATCCGGTACGCTTGGACGTCTCTGATACAACGTAGCATTTCTTTCGTCCGGCTTGCTTGCGGTACTATGAATAACTGGTATCTGAGACGGGCTGTCGTCAGAAATAGTAATCACCCTATCTTTCGCGCTCTCATGAGCGTGAGCGTCACGTTGACGCGGATGCCTCTCGTAATTATCTGCATAACGTGGCTCTTGGGACTTGGAACCCGAAAAAGACGCTTGCGATCGCTGAAAATCGTTCGATTGATGAGGTGATTTCGTGGACGAGACTCCTGCTGTATTTGGCAAATTTTTTCTGGCGGTAAGTTTCTCTTTTTCCGACAGTGAGACACTTTTCGACACTTTATCCGTTTCTTTTTGCTTTGCAGCATTTTCACCGGCTTTATCACTCTTCTCGCTAACGCCTTCGTCATTCAACAGTTCCGCCAAATCTTCCATGGACAACGGAGGCTCGTGCGACAAAGGTGGCGGCGAGAACAGGAGCGGTATCGATGGCGGTTTCGGCGGTGGTTTCGACGTGTTATGGCTGTCCTTCGGTCTGGGCGACAAGGCCCTAGGCTTTGCGAACAATATTTCGGGATCGGGAGAGTTGAGTCTCACCTCGGGAACATTCACAGGTGATTCTGGTCTAGAGGTACTGGCGACCATCATGTCTAAATTCAGCCTATTTTTCTCTAGAATAGAGGATAATCGTCTGGAACCACCGAGAGAAGGCACCGGAACGGTCGGTATATCTTGCGGGTTCAACGAATAGTTTCTACTGTCGCTGACTTTTTGCGGTAAGCTGTTACTGATCAACTTCGCAGCAGTCGCTACATCATGACTGGTAGCAGCCACTGGAGGTTGTCCAAGAGACTGGACATTTCGTCTGTTGCTTGGATTATGCCTCTCCGACTGTTCCAACATGTCCCATTCGGTGAACACAACATCATCCGAATTCGAATCTGTCTCCGACGAGATAGTTACAGTTCTTATACTATCTGAAAGCGTAATAACCGGTATTTCTTCGGGACGTTGTTTTTGTCTTTTGTTTCTATTCTCCAACTCCGTGCGTTCGGTTGGGATTATTATAGGCAGAATTTGGCAATCGGGACTGGAAGATCTCACGGTGTCCGGACTCTCTGGTGTCTCGTCCATTTCTTTGCTCTGATCTGCGTCTTGCGATTGCCCCGCTTCCTTACTTCGTTGGGATCTCTCCGACGAACTAGAAATAGCAAAGACTCATTTTTTTCGCCTAATAATTTTAATAACGATTCATAGGTTTTAAGAATCCGTTGTTTACGAATTAGCTGCACAAGAGAACAATTATTAAAATTATTTAATT